CTTTTTAATTTATATTAAAATCAAGAACAATTGGGCATTTAAAATAACCACAACTGTCCGTATAACAGCGCCCTAAAAATGTTAATGGTCCGCTTGTTAACATTTCTTCACCGAGTCATTCCATGACTTCCTCTACTTCTTATGGATGTCTGCAAAGCTACAAGCACTATCTCATTTCCACAATCCTCTAGAGTGTCTTCCATACACTTAAGTGGATAATATTATCTCAAAACATTTTTATAAATGGTCAATACCATTTGTCATTACAATAAAGCCGCTCTTATAAACGTTTATCTCTAAGGTATACAAAGTTATTAGTATCCAGTTTCCATTTATTATAATAAATACGTTCTTTAAATGATTTTAACGGTTTCTGCTTTAGTGAGCTTTCATTTTATTTACTATTTAACAGTAAATTGGTTTTGATAATATTCTTGCAACAACTTAGAGCAACTAATTAAGTAAATAAATAAATTTCTGTAATTTATTTCAACATAAGAACAATTTTATTACCAGAAATGTGATATGACGTTGTATAATTGACGTCTTCTTTAAGTATGTCTCATAAAAATAAAGGAGAGCCGGAATTAAAAGGATTACTGGGATAATATATCAAGATCAACACAATCCAAAACACTTATCGGTAACTATAGCAATAAAAGATAGCAAAATTATATGAAACTATCACAAGAAAAACTTAGAATCATCACAGGAATTCTAACAGGGCACTGTTAACTGTGGATTCTATGAAGAGAATGCGGAGTCGGCCATACATACGTTGTTAGAATGCCTTGTGCTAATGCACATACGGAATAGGCTCCTGGGAATGTATATTCTTACGAAAGAGGCAATAAAACTCTGTAAAGTAGGTTCTATACTACTTTTTATTGACGCAACAGGGCTTTGAGAACTACTCTAAGCCCAAAAGGGGGTACAATAGACCCGAAGATCGCAGTGCCACAATCCTTAGCAATATTAAAAATAAGTATATCCATTTATATAAGTGAGCACAAAAAATATCACCGTAAATTCATTTTGAAAATATTGGCATTTTTAACAAAAAATCTAGTTATGATTCTCAACAGAATCATTGTGAATATAAAACCAAAACTATAAATCCATAAATTTAACTTTAATTTGTCTTATTAAAATGTCAACGTTTTCTTTATAAGTTTTCTTTATTTTTAAATCCCTAGATTATACAGGTCAATTAAACCATCCATGAATGTCAGAAATCAACCTTTTTGATTTGGATTTCAATATTTGAGTATATTTTTCCTAAACATTGTCGGTAGAATACTAATTAAAAGGAAAATCCTTAAAGCTGTAAAATAACAAATTTTTGATTTAAAATCCTAAACACCAATCAGAAATTATTATTTTTTACGCTTTATAGTTACTACAAATTAGCACTAAAAACCCAATCCATTTGAAGTTCAAACAATCTATATAAATACATTTGACCATGCCTATTCTAAAGATCCATTTTACTCAAAGTAGCATTAGTACATAATCTTAAGATATGAATACACATCACATATACATTTTCGATAAGACACAAATAATAGGAATCTTGACCACTTAAGCGCGCCCAATTATATATTTGTCAAGCAAAAAAAAAACAAAAAGAAGCACACATATGATGTCGTTCCCTAAGCTTAAGTGTCGACGTATTATATTTCCCATGCCACTTAATTTTTATCTACATGAGACCCATACACATACAGAGCAGTACGTGGACGAAAAATAATCCTAATAATAAGTAGCGACGACGTATACTCATATGCTCGCACCAGATACTCACATTTTATGCGCTTTTGTATTGACATTATTGCATGACATATGACTTTCGTTGTAAAAACATATTCGCATTTGACGGACTTTTGGGATTATGTTTGCTATACAAATTTAATTTGAGTAAGACAATAAAAGAAATAAATAAATAAATAATGAATCTTCATCTTGAACATTTGCTGTATTTTGTACTTAACTCAAAGAAATTCGACTCTGCTCAATTTGTCGAAAAATTCATATTCAGCAAACATATCTACCACACACACACACACACACAAACACACAAACACACACACACGTACTTATGTTATAAATACTTTTCTTCAGATATTCATCCAGAAAATGCTTAGAGCAAAGTACAAATATAAAATATTTATCTGCAGACAATTTAAATGAATATGAAATTGAGTTCAACCGAAGTTACAACAAAAGCACACATACATCCATTAAAGACATATATATATTTATATATACATATATATACAAATATATATGAATGCATATGTGAGAGCTTACGAAGATGTCAGAACTTTATTGTTTACATTTCCTACTGAAAATGTTGATCCTCGGGCAGAGTTGATGTATGTATAAGAAATAAATCGCCTGACTTAAGCGGGCAGACAAAATAACATTTAAAATTTTCCAATCAAAAATATTTTGAAAGGATTATTTTGGATGTTGCGTGAATGGTAGCAACAACAATGTTGTCATTTCAGTGAGAATTGACAGGTTATGTTCATTTTAATTTATTTCATTTTCAATGTCCTGGCAACCACCACAACAGTAAAAAAGATTTAATTAAAATTGAAAATCCTTTGCATGTTTTCCCAAAAACAAAATTTTTTTTTTTTGTGGAAAAGATTCTTACAAAGAATTTATGCCTGCAAATATATGTATACATATATTTTTTCAACCTATCAATTTTTACGTTTTATCTCTATAGCTACCGTTTAAGAGTATCACTTTCTGATGATAAAATTATTAGAAAAGATGAGTTATACGTTTAGTCTGGTTTTTTTGAATTAAAATATTTTTTAGAATTGAATCTCTTGACTTACAACATTTTTAAGTAACCCATCTATTTACATATAAGCATATTAAACTTCTAAGAAGGAATTTAAGTACTAGAACTGTTAGTAAAATATAAAGGAAAATATGAGTTATTCATTTAGACAGATTTTTTTTAATTGAAATATATTTTAAAAATTTTTTTTTTGTTTTTCTCAGTTATTTGAAGTTCTGTACTTGTTAACATTAAAGACATATTTTACCTTTAACATCACAGACTCACATCAAAGAAATGCCTACCAAACATGGCTATTTATCGAATTAGCATTGTTGCTAAATAGAAAGTAGTTACCAACATCGCTAATTATCTGTGGAAAACAGGGTTGTTATTAGACTTGAATTTCGACACTTCTTTTTCACTATAGTAATAAGAGTAATATTTTTATTTACAAATTTAAGACTTATTATATATTAATTATTAATCTGATTTTTCTCTAACTTAAGTACGACTAGTAGTTAACTAACGCGAAAGTAAAGTTCATCTAAAATATAAAAACAGCACTCGTTAACATTTCGCATGATAAATACTTTGATTTTTTTTTTAATCCAGGGTTTATTTTAATATTTAAATTTTTTTAATGCAACTTATTAAATAACATGTCTATCAAAACGTAAATACAATGTCAAAACTAAACATATACTAAACAGACCGTTAGAATAGAAATAAACAGGGAACCAGCTCCCAACGGAACCGAGCACTGCGACTATAGTTACTGTTAAAAAAGGATAGTTTAGTAACATGTTTTCACTAAAAACGTGTACAACTATAGTGGTTTTGAATAACCTAATCATCTTAAATAATCTTATTTATAATATTGAATAGTCTTATTAATAATCTTAATCTTAGTCAGATATTTAGGTAAGTATTTAGATAATATTTAGGTAGATAAGACAATACTAAGTTTTGGTTAAAATATAATTTTGTGTTCAATGAGACCTTTTCACTCTACATTCCTTCTCGACACCTTTGATATATAACTTCTCCATGAACGATCATATAAGTTAACAAAAATCATTGAGGTAAATTTCTTTTGTCAGGTGTTCCTCATCTACCAGTACGATAAGCCTTTAATTAAATGCAATAACGAGATACCTATAAAGCAAAAAAAAATTTTTTTTTACCATTAATGTGGCAATTTAGCTTATTAATAATATAATAATATAATAATAATATATAATATATAATAACATATAACAATATAATAATAATTAATATTAATTATTAATAAAGCCACTGAGTTAAAAATTAGTCTCATCTTTAATTAAAATTTTGTAGCATAAGCGGGATTAGAAGTCGAAAAAATCAAACTTCTAATCATTAAATCACAACACATGGGACTATCACAAGCTTCAAAGCTTGCAAGAGTGATATATTCAAGGAATATAAGCAAACATAGGAATCAGATCATCGATGAGCAAAAACTAAGTGCTAGTGCGTCTTCGTCAACACAGCGAAGAAGCCGTGACAGTTTTATCTGCGCTCATTCTGTACACACCTGATGGTAGATTGTCGTCCATATCAGTTTTTGAGATATCTGACTCTGTCGGTTATGTTGACTATAAAGTACACTATTCGTATGTATATTTCTTATGGATTTTGGATTAGTATTTTCACAGTTTGCAAGCATTGCCCCCAAACAATTATGAATATTAATATACTATCACCAATCAGAGAAACGATAAACTCTTTGAATATTGTCATATTCAGATAGTAAGTGCTAAGAAAACACCCTGTATAATAAAAACCTTGAAACTTGAAAATTAAAATTACTTTAATTAATTTCCTGGTGCAAATAACTTTGTTTCAGAACTCATTATAAGAGTAATAACAAAAGGCTTTCCATTTGAATAAATATACCAGTAACGTTAAATAAATATTTAATTATTAGTATATGTGGAAAACAAAAACAAAATGATATAAACATATATGATATTTTAATTGTGAAAGTATTTAAGAATGTAAATATGAAAAATACTAAAGTCACAAAAATGGGCAAACAAAAAGTTAAATTGCAAAATAAGTGCTTGTGCCAACATTCGCAGGATATGCAGGATATACATAGAGTAGAGGAGTAGAGTGTAGCACTGCTCAAGTGCATGTGAGAATGTGTTAATTTATGCCAAGTATTTCTTAACGTTTTATTTGTGATACATGTTTATGGATATAAGGATCAGGATAAGGATACAATGTGTTGTTAAGTTACTTAATTTTTTCAAGTATTTTTTAATTGCACCTGTTGT